GAGCTTTGGCTCTTTGGTCCCGTCTATCAACCGTCAATCTACTGATGTACAGGTTACTGAGCTTCTCGAGCTCTATCATATCTACATTTGAAACTGTGTATGGAGGCAACCTCCACTACATCACTTCCTAATGCATTCCATTTACTAGGTACTCTGGCAATGAAAAGGTTCTGACTAATGTTTTTGTGGCTCATCAGGGTGCTCAGCTTCCATATGTGTAACCTTGTGCCAGTACCACCCATGTTTAATAATCCATCCTTGTCTTCCCTGTCAATTCACTTGAGAATTTTGTATGTTGTGATCATGTCTCCCGAGCTCTTCTCTCTTCCTGCGATGGGAGGTGCAGTTCATGTAGCTGTTCCTCATAACTCATGCCTCCTAGTTCTTGGGGGTCTTTACGGGCTCACCGTAGCCCGTGCTACATGGACACTTCGTTCTGAGTAGTTAAATCTAAAACAACAACAACAACAGTTCTGGTACTAGACTAGTTTCAAAGCTGTGCACTTTTCCCAGCTTCGTCTTGTACTTGACAAGGCATGGGCTCCATCCTGGGGCCGCTTATTCCAGGATTGACCTTATATATGTGGTATACAATTCTGACGGATTCCTTACACAGGTTTCTGAAGGCAGTTCTGATGTTACCCTGCATCGCATTCACCGCTGATGTTATTCTTTTGATGTAGGCTTCAGGAGACAGGTTTGGCGTGATATCAACTCCTAGATTTTTCTCTGTCCGTTTCGTGAAGGACTTCATCTCCCATTCGGTACCCAGTGTCTAGCCTCCTAATTTCTTCTGCCTAGTTTCATCACCTTATATATACTTGGGTTGAACTGTAGTAGCCATTTGTTGCACCATTCCTTCAGTTTGCCTTGGTCATCTTCTAAAATTGTCTATACAGTATACCTAGGTCATAAAAGTATTTGTGTGTACGTCTGATACCATACTACTTGTGTAAAGGAGGAAATGTATATGTTTATCTCTCAGAATGTTCGGTAATACGTTTATTGCTTGTGATGTGTGTCTATGTATGTATTAACACGATGTACTGAACGGGGTGAGAATAGCTTGAGCTACCTCATCCCTTTGTGTGTATTTTACCTCAATAAACTTATTTCAATTTCCATTTCAATCTTGTAGTGTTATACTATCCTCTTCTGTCTTAATCCTCCTCATAATTTTGCATCATCAGCAAACATTGAGAGGAACGAGTCTATTCCCTTCTTGGACCTTGGAGTTACCTTAGAGTATTTCCGGGGCTAAGCGTCCCCGCGGCCCGGTCGTCGACCAAGCCTCCTCGTTGCTGGACTGGTCAACCAGGCTGTTTGATGCGGCTGCTCGCAGTATGACGTATGAATCACAGCCTAGTTGATCAGGTATCCTTTGGAGGTGTTTATCTAGTTCTCTTTTGAACTCAGAAGGGTCGGCCATTTATGCCCCCTTATGTGTAGTGGAACCGTGTTGAACAGTCTCGGGCCTCCGATGTTGATAGAGTTCTCTCTCAGAGTACCTGTTGCACTTTTGCTTTTCAACGGGGGTATTCTGCACATCCTGCCATGCCTCCTGGTCTCATGTGGTGTTATTTCTGTGTGCAGGTTTGGGACCAGCCCCTCTAATATTTTCCACGTATAGATTATTATGTATCTCTCTCGCCTGCGCTCAAGAGAATACAGATTTTGACTCTTTAGTCGGTCCTAGTAGTTTAGATGTTTTACTGAGTGGATTCTAGCAGTAAAAGATCTCTGCACGCTCTCTAGGTCAGCAATTTCTCCAGCTCTGAAAGGGGCTGTCATTGTGCAGCAGTACTCCACTCTAGAGAGCACTAGCATCTTGAAAAGTGTCATCATCGGTATAGCATCTCTATGGTGAAAGGGTCTTGTTATCCAACCTGTCATTTTTCTTGCAGTTGTGACGGCTACTTTATTGTGTTCTTTGAAAGTAAGGTCTCCCGACATGAGTATACCCAAATCCTTTACAGTGCCTTTTCGTTCTATGTTATGATTTGACTGCATTTTGTACGTGGTTTCCGTTTTCATATTTTTCATTTTTCCATAGCGCATGAGTTGGAACTTATCTTCGTTAAACACCGTGTTATTTTCTGTAGCCCATGGAAAGACCTGATTTACATCTGATTGGAGGTTTGCCGTGTCCTCTATGTTATCTATTCTCATGGAAGTCCTAGTGTCATCTGCAAAGGATAATACAGTACTATAGATTGTGTTCATGTCTATGTCCTATATGAGGTTGAGAAAAAGTACTGGAGCAAGCACAGTACCCTGGGGGACTGAGCTCTTCACGGTTGATGGACGGGATTTTGTTTTGTTGACTATTACACATTGGGTTCTGTTAGTTAGGAAATTATAGATCCATCTGCCTATTTTTCCGGTAATTCATTTTGAACGCATTTTATATGCAATAACCCCATGATCACATTTGTCAAAGGCTTTTGCGAAATCTGTGTAAATTACATCAGCGTTTTGTTGTCTTCCATGGCATCTAATGCCATGTCATAGTGGTCCAGCAACTGTGACAGGCAAGAGCGCCCTCTCCTGGAACCATGTTGTCAGGAGTTATGGCGATGCTGTGAGTCCATGTATTTTGTGATCTTACTTTTTAGCACTCTCTCAAAGATTTTTTTGATGTGCGATGTTAGTGTTATCAGTCTGTAATTTTTTGCCTCTACCTTATTGCCTCCTTTGTGGAGTGGTGCTATCTCTGCTGTTTTTAGTATGTCAGAAATAATGCCAGTATCTAGGCTTTGTCTCCAAAGGATGTGAAAGACCTGCGATAGTGGTTTTTACAGTTCTTGATGAATATAGAGTTCCAAGAATCAGGACCTGGTGCAGAGTGCATAGGCATACTGTTTATGGCTTCCTCAAAATCCAGTAGGGGATAGGGTGACGTCTGATATATGATATGATGTTGGTGTCATATTCATGAAAAATTCATTTGGGTTATCAACCTTTAGTGAGTTTAGTGGCTCGCTGAAAACAGTCGTATTGTTTCCTCAGTAACTCGCTCATTTCTTTGTTGTCATCTGTGAAAGTTCCATCTCCCTTTCGCTGGGATCCGATACTAGATGTGGTTGTTGATCTGGATTTTGCATAGGAGAAAAAATATTTCTGATTTCTCTCTATTTCACTGATGGCCTTTTGCTCACTTTGCCTCTCCTGGGTTTTGTACGATTCTTGTAGCTTTAGTTCAATTATTAATTTTTCTCTACCTAACCTTCTTCGCCGTTCTTGAGATAGGATGCGATTCTCAAGTTGTTCCGTTATTCGTTTTCTTCGCCTATAGAGGGAACAACGTTCCCGTTCCAATCTGCATCTCTTCCTCTTTTTTTCTTAGGGGAATGCGGTTTGAGCATGTTTCTAGTACGACTGAGCTTATTTTTTCCTGGCACTGGTTCAGGTTTGCATTTTCTAGCTGTTCTTCCCTGTGTCGGAAAATCCGACACCATTTAATAATCATACAGATAATAGCTGTATTACCAACAAGTTACCCATAGAAAACGTAACTTGTAGTGGAATTACCGTCTATAGAAAACGGGATATCATCACCACATACTATTATAATTCACCAGCTATTCTGCTGGGAATTGTTCTTAAATACATTAGTCTTTGGACTTTCTTATTTCTGTGAAGTCTTGGTTTATTTGTTCCTAGTTTATCTGTTTAATATTGAAGTTGAATTTGCTGAAATCTCCTCCACCGGGAATCAGGACTGGTTTTGAAGTTCTATTCCCCATTCTTGTCAGAACTTCAATTAAGTTGTGATCTGAGTAGCAGGAATATGTAACCATTATGTCCCCTGATGAATAATTCATTATTAGTGATAATTAGGTCCAGCGTGTTCTCCTTCCTAGTTGGTTCTACTATTTGCTGGTTTAAGGCAAACCTGTCGCACATCCGTAGCAGGTCATTTGCATGTGCCTGTTCAATTAGGCTACTTCCTGGTATTCTTTCTGATATAACTGTATTTGCTAGGTTCTTCCATTTCACAGAATAATTGATTCACAGCATGATTTTAAAAATGGCTGTTCATGTTTAACAAATTTGCTATCATTTTATTCCAGCATAATTGGGGCAGCTGATAGTGGTAAGGGATGTGATGTTGTGTACCTTGACTTGAACAAAGCTTTTGATACAACGTCACATGAAAGATTGATTAACAAGATAAAGGCTCACGGTATTGGGGGTGATTTATTATGTTGGATTAGGGCATGGCTATCCCAAGGGAAACAAAGAGTTAGTATAAATGGGGATAAGTCAGAGTGGAAAATTTTTGTAAGTGGAGTGCCTCAAGGCCCTTTCCTGGGACGTCTATTATTCATAATATATATAAATGATTTAGAGTCAGGTTTGAGGAGCAATCTTTGCAAATTTGCCTATGATACAAAAATCGTGAGGGAAATAAAAACGGAAAAATACTCACCATCACTTCAAGACTCACTATCACCGAGTTTTGTCCGTCAGATGCAGGGATTCACAGTGAGAGGGTACGTTACCTGGAGCTCCGATTGTGCTATCATAGTAATAATAGAAGGTGAAGTGAAGGAACTGCTGAGTCTATGTGGAGCTCTGAGGACAAGGTTGGATTCCCTACGGGAGTAGCTACGACAGCTAAAACAAAGTCAAGAGGAAACAAAGGAGGAGACCAGTATTAAAAAGTCTTCGCCTTCGTCTCTTCCTCTAAAAGAGGAAGAGATTATGACGTTTGGGTCCACCCAATGCCATTATCAAGTCGATTGTCACAATCGACTTGATATTGGTCCAGGACGCACCAAAACGTCGTCGTCTCTTCACCTTGTGGTGTGTGATTTGGTCATCATATCTTTAGCCACGTTATTGTGACCCTTTGTCTGTATTCAATTATATTTTAAAATATCATTGTGGAGTATTTAAATAATTTTTACATTAAATTGAATAGTGTGCAAGCCCTCAGAATTCCTATAAAGAAGATTTCACAAATATGATGTAAGCTACAATTCTTTCCCTCATAGCTGATTCAGACGTTTGCGGAAATAATATCCATCTACAATAAAGCACTCACTGACTGCTGGTTGTTGGGATGTTACTGCAGCTGCTACTGGCTGCCAATTTCCTGGTGGCTGTCACGCAGATGTCACTTCTTAATGGTATGAGATAAAGAGATCTTCGTTTATTTATAATCTGTATTTGCATGATTCATTCTGTAGGAGTGAGTACTTTGTTGTAATCATGATATCTAGTAACATGATATGTAGAACTTTATCCCTCTGGGCACATATTGTGTATATAATAAACATATTAGACACTTACGTTAACACACTGCACTTGGCAGAGATTCGCGATACTCAAGCACTATTGAGCGGTGGTGTAGAAGCTGTGTTGGCCGCAGTGTCGGAGCCTCGCTGTTCCGTCATGTTCTTCACGGACGGCGCCACAACCCTCACCGCTGTGTCTAAGGTGAGTCTCAGCCCGCTTTTTGTTGTTGTTTAAGATTCAGCTACTGGGAACAAATTTCCAAATAACACGGGCTATGGTGAGCCCGTAGTGGACTTACCTGGCACAGGAGCAGGGCTGTAACTGTTCTGTCAGCCCCGCTGTTCCGCCATGTTCTTCATGGACGGCGCTTCAACCCTCAGCGCTGTGGCTAAAGTGAGCCTCAGCTCCCCTGATCTGTTAAATTCTTCACAGAGGGCGCTTCAACCCTCACCACTGTGGCTAAAGTGAGCCTCAGGTCCCTGTTCTGTCAAGTTGTTCACGGACGGCGCCACAGCCCTCAGCGCTGTGATTAAGGTAGGTCTCCCTAGTGTCTAGCACCCTAGTGTCCCTTACGGACGAGAAACCAGAGGATCCTTCATATGTCCGAGAGAGTGATTTGGTTCAACGTTTCAAACATCTATCAGAGGTGATAAGTCGGTGGAATGACGTATGAACTCTAGAATACCTTACTGCTCTGAGGGAGTATCATTACGGGGCAAACAACCCCTACGACAGAATTAACTTGAACCCTGGTGACATAGTTCTGGTGGACAGCGATGGGCCATGCTCAGAGTGGCCAATAGGCCAAATAGTCTCTGTTCATCCAGACAGCCAGGACACCTTGAGAATAGTGAAAGTAAAATGCCGAGGCAACACTACTCTCAAATCATTAGAGAAATTAGTTCCATTAGAACTGTCAGGAAAAGAAGACGTTCAACGACTTCCAGCACCCGAAGAGCCAGTAAGGGACGTCGGTCCTGAGCGGACTGCTGCACAACGATGCAAACTAAAATTAAAGCAACACTATAATTCTGAAGGAGAGGAATATGTCGGAAATCCGACACACATGATAACATAAGTTACCCATTAAAGAAAATGAGAATGGGGTATTCCGTGACATCATACAACGACACGTATATTATACATCTTATCTCTTTTTAAACTTCATTCTAGTATTCAAACTTAATAAAAAAGTGTTCACTAGGACTGAATATAATTAAATACAACAGGAATGTAACTTAACTCTCTATTCCTTAAATATACATAGAACCACCAAATATTTTAGGACGGCTCCCCTAGAGGCGTCGTCACGCACATCGCAGCAAATTGTAAACACATTGAGGAAGCACTCCCTGACAAATTTTAGAACACAAACGGTTCTTTCTCCGAGCTTCGACACAGGATCCTCTACGATCCGCCCAACCGAAGATCTCATGAACAAAGGGAAGAAAATTTTCGGTATTTCTATTGCATTTAATACTGGCCATTGTTATTGTAGGAAATATCGTTAACACGTGGGATTAAATCCCCAAACAAAGGGAGTTTACTCAGCATTACACACACATAATCCATGTCTTACCTGTACTTATATGTTTGGGGAACCATTATTAATTCCTTACATTTGGCAGGTAATTGCGAGTTGGAGTTACAAGAAGCTGAGCAGATCAATATAACTGTGATTGCAGCCACTAGCTGTACATCAAGCCTTGTAGGCCTCCAGACAGCCACCATTACGTGGCACTCTGAGGCACAGGGCCACACCCAATTCCGTTGCTACAATTACACAGTTTTAGCAAGCCCCACTGTTGCGGCCACAATGGGTCGCAACCAGGTTCTTTGCTGGTGGAACTAAAGTTCTGGTATCCGGCCCCAAGTTAGTAGTGGTTTTCAAGGAGTGAGCTCGGTAATGCAAGTAAAACACAAAGGGGGGGGGGGTTGCATTGAATACGACAACTTATCAATTATCAATATAATCACTTTCCCATCACCTTATATATAATCCTAAAGGAGTATTACTACACTTAATATATACACAAGTGAGTCTCTCATGGGACACTAAGGGCTCCTTGATGCTCAATTGATGCAGTCTTGTCAGCTTTCGTGTTTCCTCAACACACAGTACCGTCCTCAACCAATACTGGGAAACAACAACGAGTCTACCCTAGCCATGGGCCAGCCTATACACAGTCTCACAAGGTGCTTCCTCGTGAACGCCCACAATCACTCTCCAGCCTGGTGCTGGCAGAAAATATCAGCCTCGCGCTGCTGGGTCTCTTCACGAACAAATACAAGGGTAGCTAACCCTTGGCAGGAGCTTCTTGCAACTCGCTAGTTACACTCCTCCGTAGCACCTTACTGTCAGTCTTTTCTTCTGCTAGCCAGTCCCGGGTACGCCGAATTCCGTCACTGCCACTTCTAGGGCAGACAGTAGAACACAACACAGTTCTTCTTCTTCGGCGGCTCACTGCTTCCGTAAAGCAGAATGGAATAGAGAGATATTGGCTGCCCTGGGTAGACTGACTGTCCTCGTACCACAGCAGCCCTACGTCGCCTCTGTGGATACAGACACGTCATCAGTAAACTTTTCAGTACTTGGGACACTAGGAAATACCACTTACGGACTCGGACATAGACATACAACTCCTCCTACAATAGATGGCGCTGATTTTTTAGGCGCCACCTCACCAGATGTCAGCACATGCTACCTCTCAAGCAGACCATGACAGGAATCTAGCGCCTCATGCTGGTATCATCCTGCCACCGCTAGATAACGTCGTCCATTTTGTGGGGGGTTTCGGGAGCGGACTCACAGATGGCATTGACGTCGCTGCTCCATGCTCCGACGATGGAATCGGGTTCGTAACACCCACCAACAATATCAGCTAAGGCCCCCCTTTATTTTACATTGTAGACATAATATTAGTAGTTATTAATTTAATTTGCTGTAATAATAGTACATTAGACCGCCATATGTGGCATGATTTATAATTTATATATCCAAGACAATGTAAACAATTTCTGGTTTATGAAGGATCCACCTCAAAGTGGTTTAAGCTACAAATTGTCCCACCCAACTGCGTGTGATAAATTCTAGCAGCTGAATCAGAATATATACTGTCCACTACTAACTAACTAACTCAGAAGAAAAATAATATAATATTAAAGTCAATTAAAAAATAAATTAAAGTAAATATTTGAACATTCACAGAATAATAACAATTAAAGCTTACTAGGATTTTCCCAAAACTCTTGCATTATCTTGAGTATTATAAAAAACGAACCATACATATGTCAAAGAATCAGCATGAGCAGGGTTGGAGTACTTAGGTCTTACCTTAGTCTCTACTTTGTTTAATCAAGACTCTAAAAGACTAGCTTCACTGGGGAAGAGACGGATAGCCATTTCCTTCCTAGTACATAGAGCTACTGTTTCAGTTGCTCCTCTGTCTGTCCCAGATTGGACTACTACATGGTTCGTCATTGTTATTACAACTGAATTTACTTGTGAACACAAATTTTAGTTAAACCTTGCATAAATGCACAGCTCTAAACAATACTGTTCAAAACTGAAATTGTCAGACTGAACTCAGGTGAGTGGGTAGCAAAAACTTAAAAAAAATTAGCTTAAATTTAGTAAAATTAGTTTAAATTAGTAAATTAGTTTCTCAAGTAAACTCATTGAATAGGTAGTACTAAAAAAGTGGTATAAAAGTAATATGAAACTGATAAACACGAATTATTTGGACGACAATTAAGGACAACCAGATGAAATATAATACTGCAAAGTATATGTGTATCTTCTCACAAAAAGGCCATTCAACACTGAAAAAAAAACATGAAGCACAAGAATTTCAATTATCACAGTCGGTTTTAAGAAAATATGTGAACACTAAGGAAATCAATCGTAATGTAAGAAAAATATACATTCTGGAGGATCAACTTGTATTAATTTAAGGAAAATAATTAAAGAGACAAGTTCTGGATACTTGCATGATGGTTAAGAGATCACTAAACGAAAAAAAACTGCTGGCATTACTGAAGCAAGAATTTAAACACAAATACTTTTTTCTTTTTTAAATTATAATGATTTTTTAGACAATTTTAAATGTCTTTTTTTGACAAGTAGCAGAACAACTGCTACATAATGTCATACATCACAATAACGTGATGTATCAGTGAGAAAATCAGTAAAAGCTATGAGGAGGATTCGAACCCATGCTCTGGTTATTCCCAGGCATTCCATAAATACTTTAACCCTCATACTGCAAGTGGAAATAACTGGAAGCAAAACGTAAACACCTAACATAATTCTTAATTTTAAACACATTTCTAATACATAATAAAATTTATTTATATATATATATATATATATATATATATATATATATATATATATATATATATATATATATATATATATATATATATATATATATATATATATATATATATATATATATATATATATATATATGACAATGTCAGACCACGGAGGAAAAATGAAACAGGAAATTTCCTTAAGTACTTTCGTATATTAAATACATCTTCAGAAGGTACCTTCTGAAGATGTATTTAATATACGAAAGTACTTAAGGAAATTTCCTGTTTCATTTTTCCTCCGTGGTCTGACATTGTCACATTCTTAATCACGTGTTTATTTTCGTGATATACACACACATATATATATATATATATATATATATATATATATATATATATATATATATATATATATATATATATATATATATATATATGTCGTACCTAGTAGCCAGAACGCACTTCTCGGCCTAATATGCAAGGCCCGATTTGCCTAATAAGCCAAGTTTTCATGAATTATTATATTTTCTCTAATTTTTTTCTTATGAAATGATAAAGCTACCCATTTCATTATGTATGTGGTCAATATTTTTTTATTGGAGTTAAAATTAACGTAGATATATGACCGAACCTAACCAACCCTACCTAACCTATCTTCATAGGTTAGGTTAGGTTAGGTAGCTGAAAAAGTTAGGTTAGGTTAGGTTAGGTAGGTTAGGTAGTCGAAAAACAAATAATTCATGAAAACTTGGCTTATTAGGCAAATCGGGCCATGCATAGTAGGCTGAGAAGTGCGTTCTGGCTACTAGGTACGACATATATATATATATATATATATATATATATATATATATAATATATATATATATATATAT